TTGAGTTTCAACTAAATAAAACCTTAAAAACGAGGTTTTACTCAGGATATCTTGAACATTCGTTAATTCAGTGCAGGTTGTTCTGAAGTTTTACTTACTTTTTCCTGAAACAAATCTTATGTAAAATAATAGATTTGTGTGTTCATGTGTCTGGTTGTTTGTTACAATGGCCAACGTAGTTTGTTCACAAAAGACGCAACAACAAAACAAAGAAAACAACTCACTGGTTTTGGTTTTATTTTACAAGATGTACAGATATCTGTGGGGGCGGGGCTTCTCTAATCTTAAATGATGAGAACCTTCATCTTTAAAGTCCTGGAAGTCGTGGACAGATGCATTAGACAAGTGGAGTGGAGGAAGAGAGGAGGAGATGGACAGGAGGAGAGGAAGAAGAGGAGGAGGAGAGGAGGAGAAGGAGAGGAAGAGGAGGACAGTAGGAGGAGGACAGGAGGAGAGAACATGGAGATCTGGGAGATGCAGCAGCAGATACTGGGAGTTATCGGCTCACTCTCATCGCTGTGATGGAGGATGAGATCTCACAGAGGAAGCTGAGAACTCCGCCCACCACCATTATCCCCGGCAGCCATAACACCCAACCACTGTGGCGCCAAACGAACCACTGTTCACGCTCCGACACACATGCACATACACACATGCACGCACACACACAATCACAGATGCATTCAGGAACATGAATGCAAGCTGGTGAAAGAAACACCTCTGTTACCTAACCTCAGCAGGACCTGAAGGACCTGAAGGACATGAAAGACCTGAAGGACCTGAGGACATGAAAGACTTGGAAGACGTGATGGACCTGGAAGATCTGAAGAACCTGGAGGATCTGAAGGACATGATGGATCTGGAGGACGTGGAGGACTTGAAGGGCATTATGGATCTGGAGGACCTGGATGACATGATGGATGATCTTTGGATGTAGTCAGAGTGAATCCTCAGATAGGTGCAGATGATCCTCAGTCAAATGAACATCGGTGCGGTAGATGAGAGTCATCCCCAACACACAGGCAGTGGACAAAGGTCACACAAGGTCGTGACCTTCAAAGTGACATATGATAGTCATTCCTTCAAGGACTGCTACTTTCAAATGTTTTGGTTTTTTACACACTCAGATGTTCTCAAACCGACTCTGAGAAGTTTCATTTGTTCTGAAAGAAGAAACGATGTGAAGCTTCAGGTCTGAAACTCCAGTTAGTTTGTTTGTTTCTCCAAACTTATATTTAAAAGGAAGTCTAAACAAATAAACAGTTTTACATGTAAATACAGTGCGTACCGGTATACAGATTATTTTCAATTTTTCATCAAAACATTAAGTGAAAGCGAAAAAGTCAAACTCATGTTTTAGGGAAATGTTGCAAAGTAACGCCAGAAATTCAAGGTAAATATGAAGAATCCTGACGGGCTGTCCCCAGAGATGGAGCGAAAAGAAGGAACTGGAAATGACCATTGGCGTCGCATCTGTATATGTCAAGGTGACATGTCCCCCTCACATTTTAAAAATGTTCATTTGGAGCATTCAAACCCCCCCCCCCCCCCCAAGAAATATTAGTTCACCCAGCGCTGTTTCTATTTTTTTCCTAAACTAATCCATTACACTTCATTAATATAATAATTACTTCCTTAGATAGAGAACTTTACTAATTGGCTTTACTATGTATGTGAATGTTCCTGTGCAGTGCCCTCAGACAACTTAGTTGTGATTTGACTCTTTATAAATAAACTGAACTGAATTGAATTAATAGGAGCATACTCAAACCACTAAAGGTCCACTCCAGGTTTTCCTGGTTTCCTGTATTGTAGGGTTAGAGTTTGCAGTGAATGGGCAGCACGGTGGCGCAACTGGTAGAGCTGCTGCCTTTCAGCGAGCAGGTCCCTGGTTCAAACCCTGGTCCAGGGGCCTTTCTGGGTGGAGTTTGCATGTTCTCTCCGTGCATGCGTGGGTTTTCTCCGGGTGCTCCGGTTTCCTCCCACAGACCAAAAACATGCATGTTAGGCTGATTGGTAACTCTAAATTGTCCCTAGGTGTGAGTGAGAGAGTGAATGGTTGTTTGTGTCGTTTGTCTCTATGTGGCCCTGTGATGGACTTGCGACCCGTCCAGGGTGTACCCCGCCCCTCGCACAGTGATTGCTGGACATGGGCACCAGCAACCCCCGTGACCCAAAATGGAATAAGCGGGTAAAGATAATGGATGGATGGAGTTTGCAGTGTTTCCTCGAGATCACTGGGCCTGGCAGGGCACTCATCTCTTCGGGGGCGTTGTGGACGGGGCGGGTGGAGGAGGGGGAGACACCTATGTGTTGCGTGCTAGCTTAGCGCTACATTAGTGCCAGCAGTTGTTGACCAGGGTGGTTCAAATACACCAGAATGCAGGAAATGACATATATTTTATTTAAATTCTTTGGGGGGAGGACCCCCAGACCCCCCCACCAGGGTGTCCCCCCTCCCACATTAAAACTACTTCAGATGCTAATCCCTTCTGTACATCTGTATACTTAAAAGTTTAGTTTCCTCAAACGATTGGGGTGGTTGAAGATTAATCTCTGGGGGCCAAAGCCACCATTGTCCACCCCCTGAATCTTCCACTGCACTTGGTGGTGGATAAAATTGCTCCCTCCTCTCACCAGGATCCATCACTCTGCTCCGCCTCAGACAAGAAAAACAAAGCCTCCCTCTGTTCTCCACAGTGTAACTCCTACCACCTTGAATATCTTGCACCAAAAACATTTAGGTTCACTTACAGCCTCTGTCCAGAAAAACACTCATCTCCATAACTAGAAACATTCACTGTTGAAGTCCGTCAGTGCACCACTTGTTGATCTGCTCAGGTTTGATTGTGACCTGCTCTTCGCTCCTCTCCATTCTGTGCCTCGTGTCTTTGTGATGTTTCGACTCTGAAAACTTCTTTTTCTTGACGTCTGAACTAAAAGTCTGAATCTGTGAAGCCCACATCAGAGGACGGGCGATGTTATCACGGTTTCCTGACCGCCCTGTTTTGGGAGTTCCACTTCCTAAAATTTGGTCTTTCATGTTTTCTCTTCAACAGTTTCATGTTTTTGAAGAGACTCGGGTCCTTCTTTGTGTTGTTTGTCTGTCCTGCAGCAGCAACAAGACAAACGTCAGGGACGTGTGTAGTTTTTTGTTTTTTTCAAACGAGGCTCGTTATGCAACTGAAGAACAACAGAGAGGAAAGGGCAGTCCGGTCCAAATGTCTACTAATCACAGCTAAGTACAGTAAGTAGGCCAAAGGTGCCACTGGCCTCTTGGACGGGGCCCCAGAAGACCCCCTGTTCTCAGGAGTCTATGCGAGAGCTTGGGGCTCCTGCAGAACAGACTGGGCCCCAGCTCTAAACCCGATCCCCGGGCCTCGCCATAAGCCTTGAGAACCGCTCTCTTATCTGAGGGAAGCACAGCGGAGGAACTGTGACCCCGACCGACTACTGAGCTTTGTTCAGCGTGAAGCCACTGTCCACACACACACTGACACACACACTTTGAGAGCTGTGGGCTGCTCTCAAAGTGTTTTTGTAAGTGTTCAGTTAGAAACAGGAGCTCTTGGACGCTCCGGCATTTGGAGGGGTAAATGTTTGGACTCTGGGCTGAGTGCGTTTGAAGACGATTGTGTAACGGCTGAGTTGGGCTCTAAAAGCGTCAGCTGGTGGAGACGTTGGTGCCGATTGAGTCGATGCGCTCGATCGGGCCCGCACGAAGAGAGAAGCTACTTATATTTGTCATGCTAACACACGTTAGCACGAGTGATGGGGGAGTGGTGGCACAGAGGTTAGAGAAGATGGACCTGTGATGGGAAAGTGGCAGGTTCTACTCCCCCGGACTGACAACATCAAAATGAGGGTGGAAATGGTGAAACACCCACACCTGCCTCCACCCTCATTTGCCCCACTTTGGGCCCTTGAGTAAGGCCCTTAACCCCCACCATCTGCTCCCAAAACATGTCTCTCTTGAAAAAGCTCATCAGAGACTCTACTTCCTCGGGCAGCTGAGAAGAAACTAGTCTGGGAAGCTCAGTCCTCACCTCCTTCTACAGGTGTGCAGTGGAGAGCATCCTGTGCTCGAGCATCAATGTGTGGCATGGAGGCTGCACAGCTGCAGAAAGAAAAGCTTTGCAGAGAGTGGTGAAGGCTGCACAGAAGACTGTTGGAGTCAGCCTCCCCACCATCACAGACATCTACACCTCCAGATGCAGGAAGAGGGCCACCTGCATCATGAAGGACCCCACTCACCCAGCACACACACTTTTTGACCCACTCCCCTCAGGAATGAGGTTGAGGAGCATTAAGTGTAAAACCACTAGACTGAGGAACAGCTTCTACCCTGAGGCTGTTAGACTCATGAATCCTAATCAGGATAATCACTGTGAAAAATCACATCATGTTGCTGCTGCTCTATTTCATGCTGCTGCTCTATTTCATGCTGCTGATCTATTTCATGCTGCTTTGTTCATTCGTACTCATCTGTTCAAACAGACTCATTTTCATGCTGCTGCTCGACATATTGTTTTTGTACTACTAGTGCTTAGCGTGTTTTTAGTTTAACATTTTTCTTAGTTCATATCTTAGATCTTATTACGGTTTTTCTTTTACATTCTAATACTTTTGTTGGATGTAACTGGGACCCTGTGCACACAATTTCGTTCCACCACATGTACCACATGTGGTTCGTATGACAAATAAAATGAGTTCTCGTGACTCAATGAGACCACCTGTATAAATAAAGAGTACCTTATTTTTTGAACTGTAAGGCGCATTAAGTGAAACAAGTTCATTTGGACAGATTTTTGAGCGCCGTGTACCACATAAAATCGGTTCGAGGTCAGTAATTAACCAGAATTAATACATAAGGTGCACTGGATTATAAGGCTCACTGTCAACTTTTGAGAACATTAAATGATTTTAAGTGTGCCTTATAGTCCGAAAAATACGGTAAATAAATAAACGTGCTAACGATGAAACGTTTTGTCTCCTTCCAGCCTGCAGCAGCCACAGCTGTGACGGCGCCGACGATGGGCTCCTGGACAACATGTACCTTCAGTCTCTGGAAGGCTTCGTCACCGTGGTAACGACGGACGGCGACATGATCTTCCTGTCCGAGAACATCAACAAGTTCATGGGCCTCACTCAGGTATGTCAACTCGCTCCTGCAGGAGGAAGTCTTGGAGGTTCGTCCCTTTCAACGTCTGCCTCGGAACTTATTTACACGTCTAGCTGCCGTGCACGGAAACACCTCTTCCAAGTTTATAGCTTTGCAGCATCTATTTTTTTCATCCATTTTTGTCTCTTTTGGATCCAGTTCAGTTTTATTTTTGCAGCTCCACGGCTACAAGCAGCAACTTGTCCACTCCAAATCTGTTTTTCTTGCAACACAATTAAATCCATTCAGTCCCATTTATTCCAGAGCAAACCAGTTCTGACTCCGTGAACGGCCGTCAAAGGATCATTCAGAGCCACGCAGCCTTAGAAACATGAAATGTCCACCGCAGAGTGTTTTCATCAAGAGATTTTAGAATCACTTGCCCAAATGAAGCTGTTGCCCAATAATTATCTTTCCATTTTTCTTCTGAAATGTTGCATCTTGGTCAGTATTAGTGGCGTTCTGTTGAGACGTTGTCTTGTGCCATGAACCCACCGTTAAAGCAACAGAGGACATTTAACCGTGTTTCTAACCTCCCACGCTGTTTAAAGTGATGATGTCACTGACAATCACTGACTTTAGGTCTGCACACCTTTCTGTTTTGTTCTTCGTGGAAGTCCTTCCTCCCCGTCACCAGGTTCTGTCAAAATTAATCCATGATGCCAGAAAACCTGTGATGGACTGGAGACCTGTCCCGGGTGTCCCCTGCCTCTCACACAGTGACTGCTGGATATGGGACGGTGAACGATGGCTTCACCGTTCACGTCAAAACAGAGTGCTTGAGTCCACGTAGACAAAATATTTTACCTCAAAGCGTCACATCTGGGAACATAGCCTGTAGGGGGGAGCATCAGGGCCTTCATCGCCTTCAGAGAAGGTCTAAGAGTTCAGCATATATTAAATGTTGTATTTAGAATTTTAATTTAATATTTGCTTTATATTAAATAAATATTTTCAGTGTGTTTATTTATTTATTATTTTTTTGTAAACTACTTTGCAGTTAGGCCAAAAAAAATTTAATTCATGAAAATCCAGTCAGATTCTTTTAACTGTATGTCTCCCCAGGCAGAAACATGTTTGAAGCTTCTTTCTGATTGGCCAGGACTTCACTGTCAGCAGAGAAGGCTGAGCTCAGTCAGAGGCTCTGCAGGAGGAGTTAGTTCAATAACTGTCAGGAAAATTAACCAATCAGAATGCTCATGTAGAGTGGGTGGGACCAAAACACGGGGCTATGAGCCTTCAAGATGGCCTTGCAAAGCATTTATTTATTTTATTTTATTTTTTTAGACCAAGAAGATTTGTGGTGCATTCAGTTGCAACTGGGAAATTTTTTATTCCACACAGAAATTGTAGCTGCTCTTAAAAAAGGCAGGCTAAATATCAAATTTAAGTTACCACGAATAATTGTCAATATTAAAGTTGTTTTGGTTTCATGACATGATGAAACTTTACATAAACAGTCAGTTCTGTAGGTTGCTGTTAAATTTCAGTCTGAATTATTGAAATTACATGTTGTACTTGAATGTAAGAGGCTGTGGGAGCCGCAGAGCTTTCTGGGTAATCTTGACAGACATGGGTGAACATTTCCAGGTTCTGTGTTCAGCTGGGTCGTCCCTGTTAGTTCTGTGTCGTGTTGGGGTGGTGTTTCTGTTCAGGTTGTTTGTTCGTGACTAAATAAAATGCCACCATGAGTCAGATGTTGGACCTGATGGATGAACATCTGTGCAGATAAATAATCTTCAGTTTGAAACAGAAAAACTTTCAGATGTAGGAACGTTCAAAGATTGCCACCTGGCGGTTGGAGGCTTCACATTCCGACATGAAATGACCCCCGGGTCATGGATTTCTGACACCACTCACTACAATTATAATAGCACACTGTTTTGTCTGTTCAGTGAGACGTTACTGCAAATATTATTACCGTACTTGTTGCCGTACAAGTCGCACTGCCATATAGGTCGCATCAGTCCAAAAATGTCTAATAAAGTGGGAAAAAAAACATTAATAAGTCGCTTCGCCGTGTAAGTTGCATCTATTATGCATCACCACTGACCACCTGGAAACACGGGCCAAATGGCAGCAGCGGTAGTGCGCACAGGAGGACTTTAACAAGAATTTAACAAGATTAACACTTAAAAGCAATAATTTCTTGGCTCGACTTTATAGTAAAGGTGTGTCTCAGTTTAATTTTTCCTTAATAAAGTCACTTCAGTGGTCAAATCAGCTGCATTTCACCTGTGCGGCGCAGCAAAATGCAGCTGATTTGACGTTTGCTCCAGGAGTTCTAGAGCGAGACGAAGGTGGCTCAGTATGGCAAGCCAAGTGTCTCATTAATAGCTACTTTTACCTATTAATGAGACACTTGGCTTGCCATAATGGTCGTGGGCCCTCTAGTGGCTGCAAATTTTGGGGAGTGGTGGCGCAGAGGTTAGAGAAGATGGGACTCTGATCGGAAAGTCACAGGTTCAACTCCCGGTACCATTAACATTGAAATGTGGGTGGAAAAGGTGAAACACATACACCTGCCTCCACCCTCATTCGCCCCACTTTGGGCCCCTGAGCAAGGCCCTTATCTCCCACCATTTGATCCTAAAAAACAGGTCTCTCTTGAAAATGAGTTCTCGTCACTCAATGACACTACCTGTATAAATAAAGTGTAAATGAAAAAAATGTATTGTTCAATATTTTCCATGTCAGAATGAATGAAATCACCAGATCTCAGCCAAAAATTGGGTTATAAATATGGGAAAAATATATATTAGTCGCTTCGGTGTATAAGTCGCAGGACTTGTAAATTCATGCAAAAAAGTGCGACCTCTATGGTAAAAAAAAATACATGAACTAAAATGTTCTTTGGGCCATTTTCACCCAAGCGTTTTTGTCTTATCATCGGCATTTTGCTCAAAAGGGGGTGGAGCCTATTTGAGAGAAGAAGGAAGTGTTGTATAATGTGGGATTTTCTGATACAAATTATTTGTTTTAACGTTTCTTTTTGGAAATCCTTTTTAGGTGGAGCTGACGGGTCACAGCATCTTCGACTTCACTCATCCGTGTGACCATGAAGAGATCAGAGAGAACCTCAGCCTGAAGGCAGCAGGTCAGCACAACCATATGGCTTTTTTAATAAACAAACATATACAAAGACGTTTTTTTTCAATATATTGGTTTTTAACTAAAGTATTGCAGCTGAAAATGAAGTACGCAGTAGCGTCCATAGTAACAGAAATGTCCTCGGCAGACATTAGAAAAAACCTGAAGGTGGGGTGGGAAACCTGTGGCGGGATGAACTCTGGTCCATACGTTGGACTCTCAACATAGTTTTTTTGTGGAGAGAACATTCTGTCGTGGACAAAGTTGTAGATACTCGTTGGATTGAAGATATTTACGCAGTGAGGAGCATAGGCAGATGCTCCGTGGGCTGGAAAGCAGGGTGGTCCGAGCACACAGCCCAGTTAATGTTTGACCAGAACTGAGCCTCAGGGGTTCCTCTGGAAACTGGATAAATGTTGTTAACCCACCTGCTTACAGCAGGTACAGGTCCTGTTAAATGGACGTCAGGGCAGAACCAGTAGTGGACTGGGCTTTTTAACTGGAAGGAACTTTTTCTCTGCAGATTGTTGCGGTCAGACCTCATAATGTCTCCGTTAGCAGAAGCAGGCCTCCAGTAGAAGATGACGTCCTAATAAATAGACGTTGACCTTTATTTGACCTTTTCCATGGCCAGCCAGGACAGCCAACAATCCAATGTGTATTTTTCATGTTCAAAATTATTTAAAAATTTTTCCTTTTTTAAAAATAAACATTTTAACAATCCTTAGAAGCATTTTCACTTAAAAATAATGTATAGGATAGCATTCTTGCCTAGAAAACCCAGAAAGCTGTTTGTACTTACGTATTTTCATTCTGCACAGGTGCAGCCAGTTCACGAGTTATTTTTCTTCTATTATTTTAAAAGTGGATCATATCAGCTGATTAAACCCCATCAACCTGTTGGTTCAACTCTACAACTACATGGTTGTGTTTTTAAAGTTTGTATGCGACACCAGCGGCAGTAAAATCCCTGAAATCCTGTGATGACCTCTGGTTTTTGTTTTTTTCAGCAGCCTCCATCTCGGCACTCCTTTGAAAACGTTCTTGGTCTTAATTAATGAAGACGTTCTGTTTTGCATCAGAAGAGCTTCATCAGTTCAAGTTAAAAAATGTAGAGCTCCGGGCTTTTACATGGTGATTTGCTCAGTTTTTAACTAAATGAACTCACAAGCAAAGCATAGCCTCCCCACTACCCCCTCACTGTCCTGCAGAGTGCCCCTAACCTGAAGACGTGTCCTCTGACACTGTCTACTGTCTGTGAATGGACAAACGTCCAGAGCTAAAGGAGACAAACCGCAAAAACAAGGACTTGGTCTGAGGCTGGTATTTAAGAAGAGTGGTTCAGCTTCTCCTCTTAACTCCATCGTTTACATATTTACATGTTTGTTCTCTGTTTTAGCTGAAAAATAAAGCGTGTTTTCAGAAATCTTTGTTGTAAAATGTAAAACTTGCGTAGTTTGATGAAGTCCACAGCGCTCAGGCTGGACTCTGACCTCATGGTGAAACAGCTCTGCCTAATTTTACGCCTTCTTTAACTGCAGCGAAGGCCGGAGAACAACGTCGACCTTACTTAGACCCAGAACAGCCGGATGTGCACACTCACTGTTACTCCATTTTTAAGGCACAAAAAATGGACATGTAATTTATTTTAACGCATTATTCAACAAACAGATTAAAATTAAACTCAACTGTGTTTCATCATTCACCACCTTTTTCAAAATGTAAACAAATCTCAAATTTGACATTAACATGCTCAGAGAATATAAAACACTTGTTCAAACTGAGAGCTGAATGCTCGGCCTCACGCTCTAAATTTACAAACTAATAAAAAAGAGTTTTTGGACACACTGATAGAGAAGTGATGAACATCTGGAGCAGCTGCTCTGAATCGTTTTGGGACAAGATGTTTCTAATTTGACTGATGTTGGTAGAAAATAGTGGATCTGTTGTAATAAAACCTTTCAGTGACCGTCTGCTTGATGGCTTTAAGTCGCTCTTCATCCTCAGCCCTCAGAGCTTCCTCTCGGTCATCATTCAGACGAGCGATGTGACGCCGCACTTCACCACCACGACGAGTAATTCTGTGTTTTCCAGGAAGCAGCAGCCGTAAAAAAGGCAAAGAGCTATTCACGGAGCGAGACTTCTTCATGAGGATGAAGTGCACAGTGACCAACAGAGGACGCACCGTCAACCTGAAGTCAGCCAGCTGGAAGGTAGTCTTCAGACTCACACAGACGTTCCCATGAGATGACCGGTGGTTTGATCCCCAAACCATTTTGTCACATTCACTCTGCTTTAATTCAGTATTTATAAGTACATTCTACAGCATGTTGTTGAACCCATACATACATACATA